CGAGCATTTGACGGCAATGCCTGGCAGCGAGCCTGGGGCGAGATCATGTCCCTTATCAGATCAGGGGACTTTCGAGGGCTGCTGCATGTACGAGCATAACATTGCTACGCGAAGATCGCAGCATGCTGTGGTGATTTGTAGGCTCTCGTTGAGTCCAAAGCGTTTCTATTGCAAAGGCTCCTCATCACAGTGTTCTGGTGTGCTCTTTATGTACATTTTACCAAGTACCTTTACAGAGACGAGGTGCGCATCCAGACGGTATCATATCTCCAGCTTCGGCTCTCGCAGGTTTGCGACCACGATTCCTACGAGACAACGTTCATACATAAGCTGCTCGGCTACGGATGGAGATGCAAATGGCTCACTGATAGGGTAGCTCCATTCCTCACTGCTCCGTAAATGACGACTGAGGATGTTCTGACGTTAATTCAGATACCGGACTGGCACGTCCCCATGGAGAGGGTGTTTTTATGGGTCGTCAATCTTGACTTCTGCGTATCGCTGATTACAGCTAGGGAGAAGTTCAAGTGGCTGAAGGTAGACCGCACTGTTGTATTGAGATGTGAACTAGCTGTTTGTGGCAGCGACTCTCAACCATATTGGACATCTTTACAATGCCGCTTTTCATGCTCGTGGTCCGATGGGCTCTCGCCATCGATCCAGAAGATTACCTCTCACTGTAGCAAACACCTCATTCATCGCATCGTAGTAGTTATCACAGATATGGGTACACGAGGTTTATGCGTCTCTATGGGCTGCATCGAACACTGGAACGCATAGCAACATCAACCTCTGAAATCACGCTGAAGATCATATCTATCTCACTCGGAGTCCTCGGCATCATTTTCACTTTCTCTGGTGCTATGTTCAACGAAGAGGCCCCCGCTGGCCTCAAAGGGGAGTTCACAGCGTAATCACGATGCAGCGATATGAGCGAAGTTGATACGTGTATTCTCGACTGGTATTGGCAGGTTTTTCGATTACGTTTACTTCTTTGTGGTCACCCTCTCGACTGTAGGCTATGGTGACTTCGCCCCAGGTGCGAGGCTCTTTCAAGCTCGTCCCAACCGAATCGAATCGTTTT